AGATGAGTTGGGTGTGGAGACTGGCGAGCGGGGACAACTACGCTATGCCTGCAGATGAGTTGGTGTGGGGATTGGTGAGCAGGGACAACTATGCTATGGCCTGCAATGAGCCGGAGTCTGTGAGTTGTGACCGAAGGAAGGAGCTCAGATTGGCTGTAGCAAGCAAGAGTCTGACGACTTTTGCTCGGCCTGGTGTTGCGCGACGGAAGATGAGTTGAATGTCGAGACTGCTCCCGGTCTGACGACTTTGGCTTGCTTGGCGCTGGGGTTTGAGTTTGAGGGCGAAGGCCTTCTGTGAGATTGAAGATACGTAGAGTTTGGAGGCCAGGAATTGCATGGCTAAAACGCCGTGGCTGCGAAAAGAACTCTGACGAGTGCAGTGGGCGCACGGAGAATGTGCGTGGCTGGCAAGCGGTGTGCTTTTCAGCGAGGATTCTTGTGAGGCAAAGAACTGGGGGGCTGGAACTGAAGCCAAGCAATTGCTAGAAGAGAAGAAGGGCTTTCTTTACGAGGGGTGGAATACGAGTTTCGAGCATGACTTCAAGATTCTGTCAACAAAATGACGCTTTTCATTGCTTTGAGTCGGTTAAACTCTTTAGGTGCAAAGGCAAACGGGCAGGTTTGGTTTAAACAACAGTGTTGAACTCAAGAGACGCAACACAGAGGTGGCACCCCTATAGGATTTTTTTTCATCGCCTAGAGACTGGCACCTGCAGAAGGTGCCTTCGTCGGTCACCGTGGAACCAAAGATGCTTCCTCCACCAGGGCTTCAACTGCCTATATGTTGTTTTGCCAGTGTCAACGTTTTTTAAGCCGTGGCCCATGGTCGAGTTAACTCAGGACATTTGGGGCAATCCAATGGAAGAGAACAGGCGCTTGGCCAAAGACTTCCGCGCAATTGAAGAGGACTGGATGCCGGTCTTCTGGGGCCCGCATTGCGAAGCAACACGCTGAGTGTAAAAATCCGGTATAGATATAGATCAACAATGACCCGTCGTTTTTTCCTCTGGGTAGGACAACGTGGTGCTGATCGCGTTGAAAGATTCGGGCATGGAGAACCTTGATGGGGAGGCGCGTTTTGTGTGCGCGGTCTGTCACCGGTCATGTTTGAGCGTGAGGCGTTGTCAGGCAATCCACCACTGAGTCAGTTCATATCCTTGAGTCAACCTCAAAGTTTACGTACGCTCCAAAGCCTGCACATCAGTGTGGAGTTGAGCCAAGATAAGTCTACAGTCTGCACATAACGGCGCACATCCGCAGGTCTGAGCAGTGTTGGGTCGTGCCAACTGAGAAGGGCTGGCCCACTGCCCTACCACCAAGTCCACTGATTTAAGTTTCATGTTTTCGGGCACAAACATTGAGACTAGATCTACAGCCATACTGAAATATAGGGTTTTCTTCTCGATACTTGGGATGGTTGCTAGATGTTGTGCACTGGTGTCATGTAACTCGTAGGGACTCGTAGGGCTTGTGGCCTTCCTGGGCCCCGAGGCTTCTCGACCGGTTCTCCTCGCAGGGCCTTCACGCGCTGCAGTCGGTGGGCTCCACGCTGGAAAACCGCTTGGGCTTTCGACAGGGCTACGCGCTCATCGGCGCGGTGGGCGTTCAGAGCGGATGCGCGCGGGATTGGTATTGCAAGCACGGACTTGGTGATAGGAGGGTGACTTCGATGTTGGGATTTGAGATGTTTGTTTTTCTCCCAACATCTCGCCAAAATTGCAAGATTTATTGAAACTGTTTTTGCAGGGTGTTCTGTTTGAGTTCTATGTTCGATTTTTGTTCAGCCCTAAAAAAGACGTTCATTTAGTGTGCGGTTTGTACAGATCGAACTGCTTGCGACTACCAAGCAAGCCAATTGGCAACAAAACCACAAACCAACCAACCTGCCAGCAACTCCTGAGCTGTGTCCCATGTTTACTCGTTCGACTTGTCAACCAACCCTTCTCGAATGCAGAGTCACAGATGGCCTGGCCGGTGCAGTGGATGAAGAACTCCCTGGTACAATAAGGATATGTAGGAAATATATATATATATATATGGGAGTTGTTTGCAATAGATTGCTCTAAATTCGTAAACTTTGCATAGAGGTTTGCATGTGAGTGTGTGATGTTTCGGCCCATTGTCCGCAATGCTTACTACTGGTTACTTGGTCGTTTTCCCTTCCCGTCCACGCCAGGCGTCAAAGACGGTGAAGCAATGGCTGAACGGAAGGGGCCCATGGTCATGGCCGAGGCCTTCGTCTTTGGGGGGGTTCAGAAGCCGGTCGCTTGAAGACAGGCATAGAAATATCATAGACAAGATTGTCCGTGTCGAAGGACTTCAAAAAGGTCAACCAGATCCGGATGTTAAGTTTGATTTGAAGCTGCTAGCTGCCAGCTTAGAACACCGGTGGATCCTTCGATCCGAAGAATACAACAGCCCGCAGTCGGCAGCTCAAAGCACGTGGCAATGGTCGTAGTGTGGTCGAATTCCAAGGCCTGGGGCGGAGAGGCAGCGCAATCTACTATGATCCCCTTGCCCTCTTGAAGCGCCATAAAAATTCCTGCAGGCCAAGGTTTCTGCTGAGCTCAGGTGTACTGTCCGCCCATGCCGATTTCGCCACAATGACAGGGCACTCTGTCAAGTAATGGAATGACACCAGCTTTGTGCCATTTTGTTTTGGCTGCTGAGTTGCTTAGCAACCCCGGTCGCACCAAAAGTTTTCCATCGTCAGATGGCCAACTGCTTCCGGAGCAAATGCGCCAGCCAATGCTGTCGGCCATTGGGAAAAGCTTGGGAAGCCTATCCACATGGGAATGGAGGTCAAAGCTGCGCTGGCGCAGCAACTTAGCAAAGGGTCGCGAGTGCGAAAAACGTGTCAAGGATCGGTCTCACAAGTCACGGCCCATCGATTTGGCATCGCACCTGGCGAGACGATGTTGAAATGATCGCGTGGGTTTAAGGACGCGAACGGATTGGGGCGCTCCTGGCATCGCTACGAACGGAGCAAGGACGCTACGAACGGAACAAAGGTTCACTCATCGCCGGTTCTTCGCCAGCCGTGGCCAGGCTCGGTGAAAAGGGTTGGGGATAGATCAACGAACGCGACGATTTCCGTCGAACAAAGGCACTTGGGAATTGATTTCCTCTTACAAGAGCAGTACAATAACCTGGGATACACCAAATGAAGGTGTAAAAGGAAAAGGAGGAGTGCACGTGTGCTCTTCACTTGCTTGCTCTTGCTTGCTGTAGACCGTTCATTTGATGGTTTTTGTTTCCTAGGCTGGGCAACCTTGTTCAGTCTTAAGACTTAAGACAAGAAAATCAATTTTGCGGTTGAAAAAAATGCATGCGGGACATTGAAGAGGTGAAATTGGAGCAAAAAGCACAAGCACTCTTGACCAAGACTCGTCATGGGGACTTTAGTCATAAACAACGTTCATTATAACTATAACAATAATATTGGAGGATACGGCGTGATCAAGCCCCCTCAATTGCCTCCAAGTGTCTCACCTTGATCACGTCCCCGAGGCCAAATTGAAGATAGCAATCCGACCGCCTTCCACACCGATCCGCGCATAAGGAGGCGCGTTTTCGCTGGGTTTTGGGTGGGCGAATGTTTGTCCCTCGTCATGTTTTTTCTGGGTGACTGTGACGGAAAACCAGTGGTCGACCTCAAGGATTTCCCTCCCTTTGAGTCGCAAGAAGCTACGCACGGGCGGGCGATGTTTGTGTACCTAATAACTAGCTGACATACATTTGTTAAGTGCCCTCTTCTTGACTGATCCAAAGAGCGGCACTTTGTTCGGACATTGACCTTCAGGGAGTTGTTTCAGGCATGTGAGTTCGGCCGGGGTGTACTAGACATAGGGATTTCCCAGATGATTTGTTTGCAGTGCGGCAGTGGCACCGCGGCAGTTTCAATTTGCAAGAGTTGTTTCCATGTTCACAGGTCAATGGTTGGAAGGACAAAGTGTTTATCCACCAGCAGGATTTGAAGAGACTTCTTCGGGCAGAAACAGGTGCAGTACGGTTTTCCGATCAAAAAAACACGTTTTTCGCCACAGGTGGGTGGTTTTCGCGACCTGATCTGTCGGTGCAGTACGGTTTCGCATGCGTTCACAACGGGATTTGTGCAAAGTTAGCGTGCGGGCGAGGGTGCCTGGGATGGTGCCATGGGCCACCCAGCACCGTGGAGAGACGCCTTGGCCATGTGGCGTCGGTAGAACCAAAGTGTTAGAACTGCGCAGACGGGAGAGATTCCAGAGATTTCCCAGACTGAATCTAAGGGTTGTGTTTCTTCCTCCGCAGTTGCTGGTGTTCATTGTGGTCCCCCCAAAGCTTCTGGAAGTGGTTGGAAGTTTCTCCTGGCTTGGGGAAGGGCGCACAGAACTGTGCCTTTCACTGTCTCAGTTTTGAGCACTTCTGGGCAAAAGACTTGGAATATCTTGGAACAAAGAGTCGTTTTTGATGTCGCCACCCGGATGAAGGATGTGATGTGCTGTTCCGGGCGGGTCCTAGCATGTATCCTTCAGCGAACAACTTTGAGGTGAATTCCCATGGCAGTAGTCTTGCAAGGACCACTATCCACTCCCCAAAGAATCTCTTTGCTGGGGATACATCATGTACTGCAAGGGGTCATGTTCATGTCAACATGTTTGATGTCTTGGAACATCTTGGAACCCCTGAAACTATCTTCAGAGTTATCCTACTGGCCCCTTGAGGTAGACATGGCATTCAATGTCTCGCTGAACATGATTCGATTCAGTAGGATCAGTGAGACATTGCATTCAATCCGATGGATCAGTTGAATTCATACATGTTGTGTCCTTTGCATGAGGTATTTAGTGAAGAGGATCGTGAGTATGTCAGTGCAAGAATCGGATGAGTTCGCTGAATGTTCTTTGTGCTAATTAACATGGGATGTCCTCATCACCTGGGTGAACTCACGTGTAGCTGTGTCAGCTGTGTATTGAGTTATCACAGCCGTTTCAGGGTAGATGGCACAATCCCCAAGCTTGGTTCTTACTATTCGTTCCGCAGATCATGTGATTCAGCCGTTCAATCTCATGCGCACATGCTGACATGGGGGACAAGTGGCATTGGAGAGACAAAGACTGAAGCTCAGACAGGTTGCCTACATTCGCAGATGATTGTTTGTTTCAGGCCCGCAACAAATGTAAAGATGATGTCATTGTAAGAGAGCATCAATTGACGTACGCTGATGTCAACATGTGCCTACAAATCCAGGGAATCTACCCTCTATAGATAAGAATCCTGCAAATTGCGGTCAGCCGCCAGCAATGCGGTCAGGCTCAAGGCTTGAGTCCAAAATCCGTAGAAGAGGATGACACCTGGCAAAAGCTCCTAAAGATTCAGAATTGATTGCACAACTCTTGGTATGGAAAGGAGAGAAGAGATCGGGCTCTGATAGAGACTATAACGGAAAAAACTATAGATGTCTATTCCGAACCAAGTCCCAGTCCCGTCCCAGTCCCGACCAGTCCCACGACCACCCTCGGGTCAACGACAAGCTCGAGCTCTTTCGCTCCTTCGGCATGGATCGATGGAGTAGACCGAGCCGTGTGGATGGCTGGTAGTGGCATACTGGAGGATTCCATCCGATCGAAGGAGGACGGCGGACTGCAGTGGCTTTTTTGGGCAGGGAAGAAACACATGGCGTGATCACAGAGTGGTGTTTTGGAAGAGGAAGATGGTAGCCATCGGACGAGACTGGTGGATGTCGGTGAAGAACTTGCGAACAGCCATCGCTAGTGGGTGGGAGGCCATGGCTACTAGGCTAGTTTTCACACCTTTTGAGGGAACCGAAGATTGTTTTCTCAGCGCCTCCAGGATCGCTTTGGTGTGCTGGCCATTGCGTTTGCCATTGCGTTGTTTGTGACTCATGTATGGTATGGCTATGACTTGTGCAACTCGAAATGTTCAAACAGAGACCATTTCATGAACCACTTGCAATCAGAAGACCCCACAGCAGCCTGGGTACCTTTTTGTGCCTTTGTGCCTCACTCAACCCAGCTTCCGGTCATTCGGGGTTGCTTACCCCTTTTTGTTGGCCCTATATGTTGAAAGGATATTCCCAGAGATGGAAAGTGTTAATAGTTGCTACTAGGAACAAGTGCATCGCTTCTAGGAGCAAAGTGCCTTACTAGTAGTAACAAGAAGCTATTAGAAACAACTTGTGTTCAGCCAAAGGCGGGATGTTGTGGATGTCTCCAACGTCGATCGGCAGCAGCGACTGTAGCCTATAGATATGCGCTGTTTTGATCCCTTGCTTGGTTTGCTTGCCATCGAAGGGGTGGTAAAGCACACATCCATGAGCAAGAAGGATAACCATCCATGATACAGTCATCCCATTGGGAAATTATTGTTGATCACCAATTCCCCTATGAACCAAATATGTTACTTGAACATCATCCAAAAAGGTCACCCCAGAGAAAGTTGGTCCATTCAATCCATGAAATGTGAAACAATAAGCTACTAGGAACAAGTGCATTGCTAGTAGTAACAAGTGCCTTACTAGTAGTAACAATGGTTGCTATTAGAAACATGTCCTTCAATCCTTGATCTCCCAGTCCGGTCCCACCAGTCCAGTCCCTCCCCGGGAACCGGGAACCGTGGGACGCCGTGGCGGACCAGGACTTGGACCAGGCTCTGCAGACCTTAGCCTCCATGTCCGAGGATCGAGAGCAATGCCTCTTGGACCAGGAAAACACGTGAACGACGCGTGCGAAAGCTCGGAAACCAGAGGTTGAGCAGCCCTATTGCCTATCCCATGTCAGGTCTCTCAACCTCTCTTGGCATCATGGAACTTGATCACCATGAAATGTCTTGTGCGACGAACATCGCCCAAAGTTGCTTCCGCAAATCTCCTGCGAAGCCTGGGGAGAGTGCGGGCGAGTGGGCACAAGCTCCCATGTTTTTACTGTTTTGAGGAGCGGTTCATGTGCACTTTGGAACAAGTGCATCGCTTGTAGTAACAAGTGCCTGACTAGTAGTAACAAGAAGCTATTAGAATTAAGTTTTAACTTAGATTAATAGCTTCTTGTTACTACTAGTAAGGCACCTGTTACTACTAGCGTGGCACTCTTTTTGTTGCTCCGTTCAGACCCACGGCGGTCTCGAAAAGGCGACCGACACCAACTCGAGGCCGCGCAGCTGGAGAGTTGGTCGAAATGGCGACCTTTCGAAGTGTGGTGAGCCAACAGCGGCTGTTGGAACTGGGCGGACTCCAGATCCTGTTGGCTGGCATGAAGCTTCTCGATTGAGCGCAGCGGATCGAGGCGCAGCGCGATGCACCTTCGGAGGTAGCAGGTTGGTTGGGTGGGTTAGGAACAAGAAGCTGCTAGGAACAAGGGCATCGCTACTAGTAACAAGTGCATCGCTACTAGGAGCAAGGACGCTACTAGGGGCTCCTGGCCTTACTGCTAGGAACAAGAATGCTACCTAGCAACAAGACCATCGCTACTAGTAGTTGAGCAGGTCGCGAAAATCTGGTCGGGGCGGTTGATGGGTTGGCGAGACGTTGTGGGTGGTTTGGTCACGAAGGTTCTCAATTGGGAGATGTGTCTACCTCATTGGAGAACCTTTAAACATCTTTAAACTGTTTGGGGGAGTGGTTTTCCCATAGTGGAAGAAGGCGAACCTTTAACTGAGGGGGGGTGAGTCAGTCGGAGGCTGCTTTTGGTGGGTTGGGCAGATGAGAGTGGGAAGTGGCTTCACGGAGGAGATCGGAGAGTCGTTGGTGCGCCGATGTATAATGATCCTGGAGTAATTAGATAGATATGATAGAATATGAACCAATCCAAAAACATGACCAGTTTCCCATTGTTTCTCATTTGTCGATCCTCTATCTAGTGCAGGATGCAGGATGACTGTATTTGGATGGAAGAGAGTTTGCGAGCTGGGACGTGATGAAGCGACACATGGAAAAAATGGAAACCCCGACCTTCCTCAGGAGCGGATGTTCGGTTAACATGTGAGTTTCGAAGGTACTTGGGCGCTAGGGATCCACTGCCACCGTAGACCCTTTAAAAAACGCGCCCTACATCAAAGTCATCCCGTTGGGGCAGTGGATCCATTGGGAGGGTGTAGCTTCATCCACTTGAGCTGATATCTGGTGTTCCGATCGAACAGAATCTGTGTCCTGCAGATTGTTGGAATAGAGGCAACAGCCTTGCATGGGTATCATATATAACCCCCATATATATATATATATATATAATAGAGATCCCTGAGAGTCCATATGACTCATGCAACCCCCTGGGTAGTGGATGTCATAGAGACCCTTTACGGACCCTCAAAGGTTGCCATTGATGGTTGCTTGATGGCTGCTTCCAGACAATAGATTCAATAGATAGACAAAATGAGAGTTTCTTGTGACAAGCTCATTTTCACTTGTGTTTTTGATGGGAAAACAAACGAATTACTGTTGATGAATCTCATTCGGCTCTCTCTCTCTCTCTCACCTTGGGCTCTTCTGCTGAGGAAACATCTCCAAGACAAAGAGCCATGGTGGGAAGTTCAAAGTCGATTGAAGCGGGAATTGCTCATGTTGGGCGGGT